CAGACGAGGAACTTGAGCCACTGCTAGAACCAGTGCTGGAACTGGACCCTGAGCTGGAAGTTGAGCTGGAACGGGATCTTTTTCAAGGGGGAGAAGAATAAAAATTAGTGGAATACCTAGAAAAACAATGGCTGAGAAACTTCTGACAATTACAGAGAGTAACTGTGACTGAAACTCCACAGCTCACCAGAGAACCAAAGAAATTCATACTTAAAATATAAACCCTCTCGAGTTCGACAAAAATCACACAGTGACTAACACAACACAAGCTTTCAACAGGCCCATGACTACCACAAGTAAAGGTACTGATTTCTGCAAATGCTGTCATTTGATGCTCCCATAAAAGCACCCACCTGGTACTGCTGCTCCCACTGGAGGCACTGCGTCTCTTGCGTGTTTTGTCGCGACCGCGATCCTTCTCACTCGATTCCTTGGCAGCTGCTTTATCCTTGGACCGGTCCTTCGACTTCTCTTCTGACCTGTCCTTGCGCTTGGTTGGTGAGGGAGCCCTTCAACAACAAATTGCAGAAAGCAAGCCTTTTAATTGCTTAATTAAAAAAAACCCACAGACAACAAAAGTCCCACACCCAAATATAGACCAGAGCAGCAACAAAAACCACTGAACTTTGAATGTAACTCAGGATTACTGAAACTGTGGAGTTAAAGTATTAGGCAATTCCAGACACTTTAGAAAAAGTTCTAGCAAGCTCTTCTTTTTTAATCCTGGTAACTCCTTTTCCCCTTCAGAGATATCCATAGTGGTAGAATGGGCCTCATGCCTCACATCTCACTTTTAACTCTTGGATTCAGAGAACCAGTTCTCTCTTTGCTCTCGATCCAAAAGGAGACAGATTTAACACCTCTCTATTTAGCACTGAAATGCAGGGCATTAGTTGACTTCTAGATGTTTACTATATGAGGGCTACATCCATCACAAAATCTGCAACATCTACAAACATGTAACATTTTGATTATACCATGGGGATTGTTTAAAATCGGCATTACAGACCTGTCTCTAATATTTTAATAACCTCTAAAGGAATATGACACCTCCAAGTACCAAGGAATTAAACGTTCAGGGAATGAACAGAAGTGTGTTGGAGCTGCCAGCCTTATCTGTAGCAGCACCGAACACGCACTGTAATAATGCAAGATGCTGGAAACATCTCCATCCCCACACAGGCAAACTGAGCGAACAAGAAAAAAACTTCCACAGCTCACAGCACCCAACAATCTTTTTGCTTCTGTGCTTCTGGTAAGCAATTACTTTATTCTCTGAATTGCAATTAAATGTATGGTTGGGAAGAGATTACTTCTGAACAGCCAAACCTGCTTTCCTGATTTTCAGGTTCACAGTTTTCCCTAATACACCAACTGCAGGAAACAACACAAATGAATATTCACAAACCCAGCTCCCTGCAGAAACCAAGAACCACCCGTGGCCTTTCTGCATGGAGGACAGGAAACCCACACCACAGGTGTGCTACTGGCGGAAGCTGCTGGGAAAGGAAAAGTCTCCTCGAGCACCAGTGGCAGGAAAAAAGCAGCCCGTCCCATGGGCGTTGCAAAAGGAGCCAAGACAAGCAAACTCGTGCATGTCACTCAGCTTTAGGGCATTTCTACCCAGCTCTGTGCCTCTCCAGTGCAACGTCTAAGGGGGATGCAGCTCATAAAGCTCCTCCATGAGCCCAGCTGGGTGGTACAGAACAGACAGGTTCCTGGTTTCACAAGACCAGAAAACCTAAGATTTTCCTTTAATAAAATCACAGAATCACTGACTGGTTTGGGATGGTGTGAACCTTAAAACTCATCACCTTCCAACACCCCAGCTATGGCCTTCGCTACACCAACCTGGCCTTGAACACTTCAAGAGATGGGAGCTTCTCTGGGCACCTTGGGCCAGGACCTCACTACCCTCACAGGGAAGAATTTTTTTCTAATCTCTAATGTAAACCTGCCCTCTGTCAGTGGGAAGCAGTTCCCCCTTCTCCTGGCACTCCAGGCCCTTGTAAAACGTCTCTCTCCATCTTTCTTACAGGTTCACTTCAGGTACTGAAGGCTGCAATTAGGTCACCCCAGAGCCCATTTTTCTTCCAAATATCCCATGGCCAGGTCTGGCTTATCTCTGCCTACATATCAGCTCCTCCTGCACCTGGGAACTATCAAACTCATGATGTTATCAGCACACAAAACTGTTAGTACTCCAGAGTCAGATCTGGTTTTACCCCTTCTGGGAGAAGAGAAAACACAGATAAAGACCAGCATGTTTGCTGTTACCCAGCCTGCTGCTGAGGCAGGAAATGGAATCACATACTCAATTACATTGGAACAGACCTCTGAGACCATCAAGTCCATCTTCTGACCCAACACCACCATGTCAACTAGACCAGAGCTGTAAGACTGGATGCAGCACTTGCTATAAACACCTCCAGGGATGGTGACTCCACAACCTCCCTGGGCATCCACTTCCAGGGACCCAATGGCCCCTTCTGTGAAGACATTCTTCCTTACCTGATCTAAACCTCCCCAGTGCATGTTCAGCCTGTGTCCTCCTGTCCTGTTGCCCATTGCCTGGGAGAAGAGCCTGACCCTCACCTGGATACAGTCTCCTTTCAGGTTTCACTGCTAACTGCTCCTTGGGACAGGCACCTCCCAGGCACATCAGCCACACGGCTTTGGAACATTCACCGAATGATGCACTGAATAAGCAGTCTCCAAACTAACTAGTGGTTTTAATCCTTTCTCGGGAATGCCACTGGCCAAACTCACTTTAGTTGGAAACCTCACCCTACCTTGTGGGCATTTTCACGTGCACAAGTTCAGGCATTCACTGGAAAACGTGGAAAGGATAAATCACAGTCCTCACACAAGGCTAAACAACATTGCATTTCTAAGCGACATGCTTCTTCCTTACAATCAAGAACCTCTCACTCGCTAAAAAATAGTTGGTTTAGGGGCATCCACCCAAAACCAGAAAGTCTAGAGAGCAATCGACACAAACTAGACGTCCATCTCACACACGTTTCTGCTTTAGAGACAGAATCTGAACACTCAGAGCAGCAGTTCTGTGGCAAAGGAAGCAAACTCGCTCGCCCTCAGGCTTCCCGTAGAGCTGTAGGCGAGTCCTTTACTGACAGTCTGCTCCAGGTCCACTCCTTCTCAGCTGCAAACCGGCACAATTCCTGGTGTGTGGAGGGTTCGGCGCCCGGCCCTTGTCTGCCCTCTACGGCCGCTGGCCCAGCTCCGCGACTGGCGGAGCGCGGGCAGCCACATCCGCCCGCCGTGGGTCCGGTACAGCAGCCGCGGGGCAGGGGCCGCGAGATCAGCACAGCAACCCGACCCTCGGGCCCGCACAACGCTCCTCCCGCAGGCCGGGCCGCGGCGGCGCCGACACCCGGGCCCGGCTCCCCGGCCGGCCCCGCCCCGGCCCTCCCTCCCCTGCCCTCCCCGCCTCCGGCCGCGGGAGGCCACGGCTCCGAGGCCCCATCCCTGACCCTCGCGCCACCATCGCCCCTCGGCGGCCCCAGCGCGCTCCCCACGGCGCCCCGCGCGGCGGAGGGGCCGGTCGGGCCGCGGCCGGGCCGGATGGACGCGGATGGCGCGGCCCCCGCCCCGCACTCACATCTTGGCCGCCGCCGCCGCTCCGCGCCCGTCGCGCGAGAGTGACGCAGGAGGGCGGGAAGGGGCAGCGCCGGCGCGAGGCGATGGCGTCACAGCGGGGGGCGGGACTGGCGGAAGGGCCCGAAGAGAACCGGGGCGGGCTGGGGCAGGGGTGCTGCTGCCCCAGCGCTGCAATAAAGGTTCCTGCAAACCCTGCCCTGCATAGAAATGGCAGTAGCGGCTGGGGCTTCGGCTCTGGGCTTTAAGAGCTTGACAGCCCAGCAGGCTGCAGCGCCTACGCGTGAATTCTGGTCCACGCTGTCCCAGGTGCAGGTTCACAGCACACCGACTCTGATCTGAGGTGGTGGCGGCTGTAGGGGCGGTACTGCTGTGAGGGGATTTGCCCTCTCAACTGCCAGAAAATGGGGAAGAGGCGAATGAAAGACTTAAGATGGAGCACCATACAGTGGTATTTCATGTCGTGGGACGGATATCCTCTCTCTCCCCCTGCCAAATGTGTTTGTGAACTTGAAATTTGCCACTGCAGACACTGAACCTCTGACCTCACCACACTGGCTGCCTGACTTTTGACTTCAGATGAACAAAGCCAGAAGTGTATTTTGACCCCATCCCTAATGCAGGGCCTTGAAGGTGACAGATCTTTCTGATCAGCTTATGTGTACGGCCACAGGCACGTCTGTTAAATTCCTGATGACAGAAACTTCACCTCTTGAATGCAGTGGAAGGATATGTCCTGTCTAACTCCATCACAGCACATGAGCAAGACCAGGGCAGGTGTCTGTAAATTCGTGTTTGGCAAGAAGAAAAACAGGCTTATTTTCCGTTCTGCTGCAAAACCAAGAGGTATTACGTATGACCTGGCATGGAACAGGTTCAGAAAACAAAGAAAATAAACAAAACCCCAAAGAAAGCAAAAAGGAAGTTGTTCTTCTGTCCACAGCATCTTGTTAAAGGGCAGATTTCTCTCGCAGGAGATTTTGTAGTCTACTAAAATTCTGCATGGGTTCAATGAGAAACTGCATTATGTGAAATGAGGACTATTAGTAGACTGTCATGATGAGCTTAGCATCATGGAATCATTTAGGTTGGAAAAGTCCTCTAAGATCATTGAGTGTAATTCCAATGCCATTCCCACTGTGCTGCCAAGGCCACCACTAAACCACATCCCCAGATGCCACGTCTACATATTTTTTTGAACACTTTCAGAGATGGTGATTCTACCACTGTCCTGGGCAGCCTCTTCTAGTGCCTGACCACCCATTCTACATGCAGTATATCCCTAATATCTGTGAAAAACGAGGTTCACTTTCCTGGTAAAAATTAAAAAGTTTAATAAAAAGACAGTAGGAGACAGAAATAAAGCAAAGCATTAAAAAGGGCTGGGTGCTTGGCATTCAGCCAAGAGCACACTTATCTTCCAAGATACCCCTTAAATACCTTTTACATCAGCCTGTTGCATATTCATAGACTCATGCATATTTGTATTTCTCCATAAACTAGTTTACCTGTTCCAGGAACTATTATGCATGGCCCCTGCTTGGGTTTGCCTTTTTAGAGCAGGCATGTTTCTTGGCGGTGGTTTTGGTCCCTTCTCTTTACCACTTCTACTTTGGGCCTTGGTCCATACCTTCTTCAGATGGCAGATGCTGATAGCTGGCATATCAATAGCAGGGGCCTCATGACATGTTCACTGGATGTTATCTCAACCAAACAGACAGTTCACCCCTAACTATATCAGCTACCGCTACTACTATGTCTAAGTTTTTGTTAATAGCAGAAATAAAAGCAAAGTTATTTTAACGTTGCACATGTAGCATTCATCTTAATATTTGCAAAAAGCCAACAATATAATATGTATTTATCACATATCCAAACGAAACCACGGCAGGTGCAACATGAGGCCATTTGCCATTATCCTGTCCCACGTTCGCTGGGAGCAGAGCCTAACACCCGCCCGTCTGCACTCACAGAGTTCAACATTTTTTTCTGTCTCAGTTATGGCAAAGCCATAAAGGCTAGCTGATCCCAAAATCCTCCAAACCCTTGTTCTCATAACAGCTGTCATCTCTCCGGGGGTGGGCAGGTAAGGTCACTGACCCAGCAGAGAAACAATAATACTGTAATAGAAGGTTTGCTGCCAGCTGTTAGCTGAAGCAGGTTCCCGCAGAGCTGGAGCCGCAGGGCCAGCCCAGGGCAGCGTGTGGGGGCTCGGATCCGCTTCCAGGGCTGCCATCAGCTGGCAGGACTGAGCCTTTGAGCCAAGCCTGAACGAGGAGAGACATTTAACATCTCATTTGGGGGCACTAGCAGAGATGAGAACAGCTCAAAGCGCGTGTGTGCTTCAGTCTCAGAGCGAATGGCCCCGCTGTAGGCTCTGCCGGCAGCCCGGCTGGCACAGCGCAGCACCAGCCCCCGCAGGGATCGAGCTGGCGCTTCCAGGCCTGGAGGGCACCTGTAGGGACGGCAGCGCTGCCTCTGGTGAGGCTTCTCCTCCATGCTGTGGCACGGGTGTGACCAGCCAAGCCCGGGCCGTGCTCCGGGACGGGACACAGCTCTGTGCCCTGAGGTGACGCGGCTCCCATGGCCCTGGAGCGCGGCTGCCCCGAAAGGGTTACGAGACGAGCTCCGCCCTTCCTGTACATCGGCGTCCTCCTGGGTGACCTTCCCGGCAGCCCTTGCTGGCTCTGCCCCAACCAAACAAAGGCGACGGGAGGTTTTCAAACAGCCGCTTCCCTGAAAGTTGGCTGCGGTAGAGCTGGGCTGCGCTGGCACCTGGCTGGTGCCGGCCACCGGAGAACGCGGCAGCGAGTTGGTGCCGTCGCCTGAGAGGACCCCGGCAGCCGTCGGGAGTCCCTGTACGTGGGTGTTCTGCCCATTTGCTTCCGTGCATTGAGCTGGTTTGGGCGCTGCGAGTGGCGTGGGGAAGGATGAGAGGAAGTCCCGGCAGTGGTGCGAGCACAGGGAGGGTGCAGCAGGACAGGGCTCCGGGGCCCGCGGCCGTGCGGAAGCTGGGGCGGTGCTGAGGTTCCATGTCGGAGCTGGGAGTGGCATGCCCGGTCTGAAGTGCTGTCCTCCAGCCACTTCTGGAACTCAGAAGCCTGGCCAGCAATTTTCCAGCGAAGTGCAGATTCCTTTAGATACCGCCCATGTGTTGGTGGACGAGCAGGAGATGAAATAACAGAGCTGTGTGAGTGCTGCTTTTGGCTCTTACTTCAGTGCTTTTCTGTCCCTTCCCTCCTGCACTCCCAGGCTTCTGCTGAGGACAGGCCGTTTACAGCCACCTCCGCAGGGGAACTGCTCCGCTCCGGTGCCAGTGGGGTTGGGGTTCATTCTCTAAACGCTGCCTGAGGCTGAGGGCGCTTGTCCCGTGTGCTGTGCCGACTTGCAACTGGCGCTTCATTTGTCCTTCCTATTAATTGGCTTTGGGTTGTGGTGGCGACTACAGAGAGCTTTCCTTGAGGCCCCAGAGATCCAGGTGTTCAGTGGGTCATTCTGCCCACATCAACACTGGCATTTCTTTATCATGGTGAGGTGTGAGCACCCTGTACCAGGCATTGCTTAACATTTGTGGGGATTGCACTGCAGCACTGGCCCAGCCCACAGCCTCTGGATGCTTTCCCTGTGCTGGGAGATCCACAGCCTCTGGATGCTGGTGTTTCCTTGTGCTGGGAGATCTTTGCTCTGCCTCCTGTTCAGTCTGCCACTCTCGCACTTCTATGAGAGTAGGGATGTGTGGCTCCAAAGGATACAGTCTGTGTGGCTTCCTTAGAGGAATTTTGCAGGGTGGAGCATTTGTCTTCTGAGGACTTGGAAACTTTTCATCCAAATGTGTAGAGACAGCCTTAGCTGTCATTGTAGGGAGTTTCCAATGGCTGCATTGTTGAATACCTACATAGATTTGGAATGAAAACAGGAGATTTTGGGGTTTCTCTCTAATCAGCAGAAGGATGTGAATTTAGCAATTTAGTTGAAATACTTATAGGTCTGTTAAGCCGTCTGCCATAGTTTCTGAACAACTGGCTCTCTGGAGGTCTAAGGCTATTCTTACAGTACATACTGGTAGCTAGGCCATGAACAGGCTTAGGACTTCATAACTGTCTGCCCCTGGATGTGTCAGTGCATACATTTGTATATTTCAGGGCTTTTAGCTTAAAAACTGTGCCTTGATGCTCATTTTCCTGCAACACTCTTCTGTCCCGATGCTGTAGGAATATACCTGCTCAATGCTAAACTTAGGCAAACGTCATGGTTTCACCACAAGGAATAAATTCTATGTTACACTTTGCTGTGATTTATTTGTTTCCTATTCAGGCATGTGAAAGACTAGAAATTCAATGCGTGCTGGTGGCATAGCCAGTGCAGCTCTGCTGGAACGGCTGTGTCTGTGCAGAGCAGTGACTCAAAATTCATAATGCTTTACAGAGAGGCACAGGTAAAGGCAGGACAATGAGATACTTGGTATTTATTGTTCTTGTCTGAATACCAAAGTTCACCTTGATTAATTTGTTTAGTGTGAGGGCAAAGATAGATTTTGGAGCCAGAATGTGAAATCTAGCCTGCTCCTCTCCCACAGGCCTCCAAGTGCCCTGTGAAAGAATCTTGTTCCTTCAAGCTGTGGTTCCACAGTTCTTAAAATCATGTTTGGATGCTCCAAATAATTTCTTGATACATACCCAACGTTTACCAGACACAGCATCACAGCCATGCTGATTTTGTCAGACCAGGTAAAAATGTTGAGGATGACCTCTGGTTTTTGGGCTGTGGGAGAGTTGATCCAGTGCAAAGCCTTTTGTTCCAGGCTATCAAAGTGTGATTTTATACAGGGTCTCTGCTCTGTAGTGTACGGCCTGAAACCCTTTCACTGATACAGGAGGGTTTTCCAGTATTCCCAATGCCGGTCCCTTTCTCCCCTCAAAGGTGAGGTAGCAGTACTAACAACACTAACACAGTGTTACCCTGTGTTCCTAAACGTCCCAACACACTCCTCTTTATCTTTCCACTGTATCTCTATACCCTGTTGCCCAATGAGCTCCAGGCTGTGGTAGCATTGTCTGAGGCAAGGCGAACTATGTGTACCATTGACCATTGTACTCATAATTTTTTTTTTTTTTGCAACCCCCAAAACTGTTAAAGAAACTTTGTGGCAATCCAACTTTCTTCAGTGTCCACATTCTGCAAATCTTAAGGTATAACCATAATTTTTTATGTTTTCCATGTAAGGATCTGATTTTTAAAGTGTGGCCAGGCAGGGGTAGCTCCTCAATGTTCTGAAAGCACAGCCTAAACGAATGAAGCAGTTGGCAGAGGAGGTGATAGAGCAAACCAAGCTATGGGCTCTAAACAGCTCACTTCAAACCCTGGGCCAGACCCAACCCTTTCTCTCTGCCATTCTGATGTCTGAAGTACAACTTGATTAAAATCTTCTTCTGAGGTTATCCCTTCAGAGGGGAGCCAGCAAGGCTCAGGTAGCAGCAGCACCATCTAAATTCATCTGACCCATCACCTTTTGACAAAACCAGTAACAGAGCTGCTCCTTCACCAGTTTTACAAAGAAAGGGTAAGGTGCACAGGTAAGGTGGGATGCTGCCTCGCTACACTCAGTACTGTTAGATAATGTTATTGCTTCCATAAGGCTTGGCAAATCCCACAGAACAGTGGCACTGAGTAAAATTGCAGCCTAGGAGAAATTACCATTTTTCCCTGGCACAGATCTTTCTGCTTTGGCAACATTTCAGCATTGGACACCTAATACTGTTCATCTTTTTCCGGGCTAAGTTCCACTGAACCACCTTGGCCAGCTCTGCCATTCTTGGGGCTGTCCTGTGCAGGGCCAGGAGTTGGACAAAGAACTATCCATGTCCCTTCTGAGCTGTGCCAGGCAAGCTCTGGAGCAGGACCTGGAGGGCAGGAAGCCCAGTGGAGAATTGTACTCCCCATGGACACATGACTGTGTTCAGAGCACAGTTCCCTGCAGGGTGAGGATTTGGGCATCCATAGCAGACTCACTCCTTCCACAATTCCTTTGCTCTACTTGATACATTCCTTGCTGTCTGAATCTATATGTGAGTCCCATGTAAACCAGCACTGTCTTCCCTGCGCTTCTGGGAGATGTTTATAATAATTATTTTCCCCTCCAAGCTGATGCAGAGTGAAAAAGGTCTCATCTTGCCAGGTTTTGCAGCAGCAATTCAGAACACTACGGGAAAGCAACAAAACTAAACAAGATGGATGAGTGTCTCTCCCCAGCTGCTTGCAGCTGCTCCAGCTTCCCAGGCTGTGCTGGGGGTCTGAGGAGGAAGTCTGGAAATCAGACACAAAAGAAAGCAAGACAAGTGAGACAACTGACAAGACAAGAGAACCTTGTCAGAGCTGTTTCTAATCACAAGGCCCAGGTCTGGCATATTGGCTTGTGTCTCCTTACAAGGTCCATGAGGATCAATCCCCTTTTGGAAACATTGAATCCATTGTAAATGAGGTACACTGTTTCCCATGGCTTGGTAAACCGGCCTTGCACTGGACAAGGAACATTGAAAGGAAAGAGACATAGCCACATCCAACTTTGTTCTTCATGATCTGACATGGACCTTCTTAGGGCAGGAGTATTTTGCACTCTGTGCAGCACACCAAGCCCTTAAGCTCAACATGCTTTGGGATGTTAACAACATGAAGTGTCTGTTTTCAATTGCTGAGACCAGACAGTGAGCTGTATCTTCTTGCTCTGCATCGTCATGCTCCCTGTGGGTCACAGCTTTTGCTTCTCTCCTTCCTCTCCTTCAATCACATCTGTTCTCAGCATCAGCAGTTTGTCTCTCTGGTGAAACCTGTTGCTCCACCACTGTACCTGCTGTCTCGTGACTTTGCTGCTCCTGAAATAGTGGATGGGAGCTTGTTGCTCTGATTAAGACCATCTGTACCTAAATGCCTCCATGTCTCCAAGGCTGTTCCATCTCATGGGCCAGGCTGGCCATGGGCATGCTGTGGTGCAGCTAAAAGAGCCATTGAGAAACCAGCCCCAGGGTAGCACAGCAACCTGTGCCATGTCTGCTGAAGGATAAACTTTTCCTTGCATCACCTCAGCATGAATTCTAGAAGCAGCTTTGCTTGTACCTGTGTATAAGGATAAAAACTGCCTGTGTCCAAGAGCAGCTGTGAGACAAAAGGGAGAAGTTAATCCTCCCAGACATGAGCCAGCTCCATGATCACACAATGAATGTTTTACTCTTGGGGAACTTGGCATTCAAAGCCTGGTAATCAGGGCTTCAGAAGAACTGTGGGAGAGACAGGTGGTAGTGGCTGGGGTGGATGTGTGTGCAGGCAGGTGAGGGAGCTCTACCCCGAGGACGTGCAGGATGGGGAAGATCCTCTCTCTCAGGTTCACCTCCTGAAGTGGAGGCTTGCACAAGGGACAAGTTGTGCAGAGGAAGAGCCTGCTTGGCTTAAGGCTAGTGGTTATGTCACTTGAATTGTGGGAGTACTGAATTCATGCTCTTCTTCTTTTTTAGACCTTAAATCCACTCTGCTCTGAAAGAAAGCCTGGAGCATGCTGTCTTCTTTCTCCTCCTCTCTTGAGGCTGTTTCATTTTGTATGTAGTATTATCTGGGCCAGAGCATAGGGGACCTAAGGAAACAATTGTGATGGGAAGGCTGATTCAGTCTCTAGGCTGTGTTTCTGTGGATATAGCTGCATGCAGAGTTATGGAATAGAGCATTATCAGCAGTAATACCAAGGTAAAGGGCCTTTCTCAGCCAAAACTAAGTACATAAAGACTTCAGGCATTGCAAGCATTCAGCAGCAGCTAAAGAAAGGGTGGCTAATCTGAAATTTGGACAGACACCTAAATTGGCAGGCTGGAGTAAAATTCCTGTTGCAGGTGTGGTGGTGTAACAAGGCAAATGTGTATGTCCAGCTGGCTGTGTAAGGTCTCAGAAGCCAACCGACTAAAGGGAAAAACTTGTAGACTGTGGTGCTGCATGACAGGCCTCTCTGATTGGAACTAAGTAAACTGAGTGATCCAGTCACCACATCTTCCCCTGGGATCCTCATCCCACTGCAAAACACAAGGAGTGTGGGGGGCTTTGATACCACGAGGAGCCATTGTAGCTTGCAGGGGAATAATCTGTGGCTGCAGAATCTGGGTTTGCCAAAGGACTTGCAGCTGTGGCTGGAACACAATGTGACAGCCAGGGAGGTAGAGGCAAGCAGGATTTCAGAATAGGGGACTCTTATTGCACACTCAGCTCACAGCACCTGGTCTTTGTATGGAAATGCCAGCCAAGCCAACTTTGTGATGCTGCTCTGTTTTAGAAATAGCAAAGATTGAGTCAGTCCAGATGAGACTGTGTCAGGATTTTCTGGAGGAGATGTACCCTCTCTGTATTCCTGACATCCACAGAAAGGGAAAGCTTTAGAGCCAGAGGGTGAGCTCACACAATTGCTGCGAATTTTCTTACACAGATGTGCTCCCTTTTCCTATCCTCCTGCAAAACCACCACTGGAATTAACTTTTCCCAAGTGGTGTAAGAAACTGTTAGAGGAAACGTCACTCTCAGCCTGGCCCTGGAAAGCAAAGGGAACCTCATCAGTCACAGGTCTAGGAAAATCCTTGAATCTTTCCCTCTCATTGAACTGATTTTTGTTTTTCAACATTATTGGAGAGTAACAAACACCTTGAAGGCCAGGTGAGTGTAAAGATCTCATCTCTCTTGTGAATGTGTAAGTCGATAAGGTGTGTGTATAGCACAGGCTGCAGCTCCCTGGGGAAAATACCCTCTGGAGAGGGAGAAAGAGGAGGTGATGGACTCAGTGTGGAAGTGGGGAGCACATTTAGTACAGGAAAACTGTGAGTTTGCAGCAAGACCTGGGTAAATAAAGGTATAAGTAGAGATGGAGCCAGGCCCGGCTGTTGCAAGGGCTGACTGTGGGATCTTATGAGTTGGCCTTCCAATAGTTGAAAGGAGCTTGCAAGGAACATGAGGAGATACTTTTTACAAGGGCATCTAGAGATAGGACAAGGGGGAATGGCTTCAAACTGTCAGAGAGTAGGTTTAGATGAAATATTAGGAAGAAAGTCTTCCCTGTGAGGGTGGTGAGGCCCTGGCACAGGGTGCCCAGAGAAGCTGTGGCTGCCCCTGGAAGTGTTCAAGGCCAGGTTGGACATGGCTTGGGTGAACCTGGGATAGTGGGAGGTGTCCTTGCCCATGGCAGGGGAGTGGAACAAGATGAGCTTTAAGGTCCCTTTCTACCCAAAGCATTCTGGATTCCTGTGTTTTATGGAATAGACTCATGTTGTTTTTAGTGGTAACCCTTTTCCCCTACCTGACAGGGGTGGAGTCACTGCTGTGCACTTTGTCTGCCCTCAAGGTGTAAGTGAGCAGGGTTGGAGCTGGTTTTTGACCTGCACTTAGGCCTGCACTTGCCTCTTGCATCTCCTGCTCACCTGCTGGATTCTGACCCCCAGCCTGCTTTGCAGTGTCTTCTCTGAAATGGCTTTTCAGGTCTTGGTCTACCTTTGATCAGTAAATAGATTTTTTTAAAAGACCTGCTGCAGAGGCAAGTGCAGTTCTTGAAGGATAAGGAGCTTGGGTGAAGTCTTGAGCATTGATGGTATCTCCATGCAGCTGCTCTCCATAGCCAAGCCCTACTGCCCTGGAGCCATCCTGGCCAAACTCCTCATCCTGCTGATCCTCCAACAAATGGAGGGTTCTGAGGGAACACTGTGAATTGGGAATACTGAGTTTATGTGGGATTAGCAGGGCAGGGATGGTCTGTGCCTCCCGTGAACTTTCCCCAAGCCCAGGAAAGCCAGGGCAGGGCAGTGGGATCTCAGTTGAGGACTGGGAAGGGCTGAAGGGGATGAGCATGTGATGAAGGAGGGACTTGGGACATGGGGATGCTACACAAAGAGTGGAGAGGAAGCTGGAGGAGATGCAGTGTGGAGTTAGTGCTCCTCCAAGGTGGTCTCCTCATCTTCCCTGTGGAGGCTGGGTGGAGCTGCAGCCGTGGCTATGGGCTTTCCTGGCATTTATGTAAATGGTGTTTCTGTCACGGCTGCTCAGATCAGCTCACTCCAGTGTCCTCTGGCCATGTCTGGAGGCACTGTGGGAGGAGGGCAGAGTGTATTGCCAGGGCTCAGACACCTCATACCTGTAGCTTTAAGGTGGTGGTATCCTTGGAGCATCTTCCTTTGATGTGGGGAAGGTTGAGAATTTCTGACCTTTTGCTCTTGCTCTGCAATTGTACTGTCCACATCCAGGGATGTCTGGTATCCAATATCCACTGCCCCAGCTCTTCTCTCCAAGGTCCCTAATGCACACAAGCAGGGCATGGGGTGGCCTCTTGACATAAACAGAGCTGGATCAAAGTAGAGCCTACATCTCTGGAGCTAATGTGTCTTTCTTTTGCCATGGAACAAGTAAGATGCAGAGGGGCAAAACTCCTCTGTCAAATTGACTCCAATTCTCCCTGACACTGATGTCCAATAGTCTCTGTGCCTTCTTGGCCAATGTAACACATTACTGTCTTTTTTAAGATCCACATGTAGCTTGGGAAATGTGGTTTGGAAAAGGTTCCTATATCACATCTGCTTGGCAGCAGCCAACTTAAGGTAGTCTCTAATCGGAAGTGTTTTGCTGCCTTCTGGGAATTCCTGGAAGATATTTATTTTAGTGAAGTGAAACCTAAAAGCATGTCCTTTAGGGAGCAGCTGCAGCACTGAGGGTCCAAGAAATGCCTTAATGCAGATTAAGGAATTTGGTAGAGAGTGGAAAATACTCTCCACCATAGTTGTGCAGACACATACATGTGCATAGATAGACATATAAAGGTGTATCCCTGTGTGGGACAGGCACGTACCTGGTGTGAGAAGGGAAGCACAGGAAGTGCAGCCATTGTATTTTTAGTTGTGCCTTTTTTACAAGTGTATCAGTAGTTGCATTTGCTTCTCCCAAAGGTACAGGACGGTGTCATCTCCAGACCCAAGGGCAGGCTCTGCAGCACCAGAAACACATGGAGTTTCTACAGTTTTGCTTGCTGTGACCTTCTGGGCCACCAGGGAAACACAATGGAGTCCTGCCAGCTTCGCGCGACGAACCATCACTTGCCAGGACTCTCTCCAGGCTTCCTGAGACACTGAGTTGCTGCTTGAGGTCCTGACTGCTTCTGATTCCTCACTGTGCTGCTGGCAGGGTGGGATTGATGTCCCGTTTGGGACACTGGGCAGAGCCAAGCCCATTGCCATCCTCTGTGCCTTTGGCAGACTGGGGGACCAAGCTGGATCCCTCTCTCTAAAGGGGTTCCAAGTGAGCAAGGGACAGGCTTGGGGCTGTCCACATTCACTCTGGTGGGAAGAGCCACCTCCTTCACCCTTTCCACTTGGGAACCGTGTCACTGCTGGGGATGGCACCACATGGACGCAGAGCAAGGGTCAGCAGCCTGGCAGCACGGCACTAGCTGAGCCTGAGCACCATCACAGGGCACGGAGCTGCCCGGGGGGTGCCAGCATCCCTGGCACGGGTGCACTCCGGGGATGTAGTGCCGGGCGCAGGAGGAGCTCCGGCACGATGGGCCGGCTGGATGACCATGCCAAGAGGAGGATCGTGGAGCTGCGCAGGGCTGGGCTGAGCTTCCGCAAGATCAAGAAGGTGCTGGAGCTGGATGACATCCGAGTGACGCCGCAGGCCGTGTACCTCTTCCTCAAGAGGAAGAGTGTGGAGCCGGGGTCAGCAGCAGCTGGCTGGGATGGGGACCAGCCCTGGCAGGGGCACGAGGCTGAGCTCCCCAGGCTGCTGGGCACCCGGCACCCTGCACTGCCCACCGGGGATCCTGTGGGCAGCCAGGACACCAAGGAAGGCATCCAGATTGTCAGCGTGGCCTCACTGTGCAAGGACGGTGGGCAGCTTGGGGACACTTTGGCTATGGGGCTGGCCCCTGGAAATGGTAAGGCCTGGCCCCACTGGGGTTTACCATGGCCACTTCCTGGCACTGCTGGGCTCACGAAAGGGCCCTATTCCCCACTGGAGACCCCCCAAGTGTATTTTTTTGAGGTATTTCTCTCTCTGTTGTTGCAGGTGATGACAGCTCCACAGGCACAGCCCTGGCTCCAGGGACTGCTCTGAGGGGCCTTGCCCCCCTGCCCCAGACACTGCCCAGCCAAGGGCAGCTGGTCACACCCCCCACCCAGAACTCAGCTCTGATGGTGAAAAAGAAGACAGTGGACAGGGCTATCCTCCTGCAGAAAAAGGTAGGATGGCAGGATGAGAGAAGCCATGTGCTTCAGCCAGGAGCTGCTGCCATCCGGCCAGCCCTGCACAGAATCCTGCTGCGTCTACATCATGTGTGGGGGCAGGCTTCTGAGGGTGAAAGGCTTCCAGAGTGCCCCCAGCCTCTGCTAGCTGCACTCCCCAGCAATGCTAACCCTGGCACTTGGCAAATATATCTGGGAAGCCCCTCTGGGTGGGGGTGAGGCCATGCACGCACCCACCTCCAGCCAGCACCCACTGCTGGCCATGGAGATGCCAGTCACGCCATGCTTGGCCTCCAACTGGCAGCTCCAAAACCTGTTTTTAAGGCTTGGTGCCAGTACCATCTCAGGAAGTTCTACCAGCTACCCAAGGCTGTAAAGCAAAATCCAGGGTGTGTTGTTTCTGTCTGTGCAGAGAGTAAACACAAGCCTGGCATCAGCATGGGCAGCCCCACTGCTGTACAGTGGCACTCACCAGGATGGATCAGCATCTGCTAACAACATGGTGCACCAGGGGCTCTGATGGAGCAGCAGCTTAGGGGCTGGGTGGGGCTGAAGAGCAGAACATGGTGAGATCTAGAGGTCTGCAGCAAGGTGATGTCTTTCTCTGAGAGCCCTTCTCTGAGCCTTGTAGTCAAGTGCAGAATGAATCCCATGTTAAATGCCATTGATAATATTTCACATTCCCTTCTCTCCTGCCTCTCACTATGCCAGGTTAAAGATGCCAGCACTCAGACTGCCGTGCCAGACTCTGTGGGTCTGGGCAATCACAGCCTTGCTTGCAGTGGAGCAGTGTCCCTGCCTGCTCCCAGCTGCCCTGCCATCGCCGAGAAGCTGGATGCTGTGCAGCTGGAGGTGCAGAAGCTGAGCCAGGCCCTGCATGCGGTGCTGGAGCGGCAGTGCCACCTGGAGCGCCAGCAGGAGCAGCAGCAGCGGCTGCAGCAGGAGGTGCTGGTGACACTGCAGCAGCTCAGCTCCACCGTGAGCCACAGCACTGTGCCTGCCACCCAGCCCTGTGGGCCTTTCAGCAGCATGGCCGAGCCCTCGCCCAGCATGCCAAACTTCAGCCAGTTCAAGATGGAGCTGATCTGAGCTCCCACAAGGCCTGTGTGTGCCAGCAGGCCTGTGCTAATGGAGCCAGGAGGAAGAACCATCTCTCAGAGGCTGCCCAAGGATTAAGGTCCATGCAGCGCCCAGCAGATAAGGTCCCTGGTGCCTCATCTTCCCAGCCCTGCTGACTGGAAGGGGCTGCCTGGCACAAGAGGCTGGACAGTGGAAGGCTGAGGCCTTGCTCCTCCTGTGCTGCTGATCCTGGCTGGCACTGGAGCTGGCTGGGGCCCATGGACCTCAGGAGAACGCAGTTGCCTGCAAGGAGAGGATGCAGCTAACATGGACACAGCAGGGAGGTGGGACTCCAGGGGTACAGGATGCTTCCTTCTCTTATGGATCAATGCCACGATGATCAATCTTGCCCTTCCCTCCACAGGAGCTTGTTCAGTAAAAATCTGTCTACAGCACGGTGCAGAACCAGTGTGGGATCAGTATCTGTGTATTCCCTACCCCTCACCCAGTGAGCAGGCTGGAACTGTCTGGGTCACTATCACCATGCGTGGAACTGCACAGGATGCAGAAACCTGTGAGGTGAGACCAGTGCCCCACACACAATGTTGCTGGAGCCTGGTATCATCTGCTGCACCACTAGGGATACATCAGACTTGTATGTTACATGACTTGATGAGGGTTCCTCAGGGTGAGAGAGATAGACGAGAATCTTGCTTCATGATCAGAAGGCTGGATTTATTAATTTATGATATATGATACATTAAGACTATACTAACAGGAATAGAGAGAAAAGTTGCAGAAGCTGCTAAGCTAAGAATAGAATAGGAATAGGAATGAATAACAAAGTTCTGTGTCCAGGCAGAAAGCAAGCAAGCTCTCCTGTGAGTGGTCAGCAAATCAAAACACTCACAGAAGACCAATTACAGATGCACCTGTTACATTCCACAACAGCAGATAATAATTGTTTACATTTTTCTTCTGGGGCCCCAGCTTCCCAGAAGAGGAAAAATCCTAAAAGAAAGGATTTTTATGAAAAGATGTCTGTGACACTTGTAGGAAACAGTCTTTTACTGAGCAGATTCCACCCTCCTCGCCCCACAGATCTGGAGTCTGGTACTGCTGCTGCCCACTGTCTGGTGAGATATGGGCAAGACTGTAGCAGTAAGAGTTGCACCTGGGCAGGAGCTGATTAACTGGGTGTTTAGCTCTCCTCTAACTGGTTTTCCTGGGCAGGATACCCTCCCGGTTCTCCCTAGGGCAGGCTGCTGGTGGCGCAGTGCTGCTCTAGCAGAGCAGGTCATGATGCTGAGAAACCCCTTCCCTGCACCAGAAGGGCACGGAGGAGGCTGATGGGCCCTCGCTGAGCAGTGGAGTCCAGAAGGACCAGAGACTGGCCTTGGCTGCCAGCAGGAAAGGTCTGATGGGGGTGGCCTTGGCTCAGCAGCCAGTAGTGAATCCCGAGAGGAAGCAGAGCACGTGTCCTTCCTCCACATCAGCCAAGCAGCTTCTGTCTGCGTGGGCACCACGCTTGGCACAACCTGTGCCTATGAGAAGTTCCCGGCCTGTTTCTGAGGGCTCTTTGAGTCAAAGGTCAAAATTAAGAAGGGTAAAAACCAACTGAGGTGTTTGTACATAGACACACACATGGAGCTGTACGCACGGGCACAGAGGTAGATGCGTGTGGCAGGTCTGTGCAGCAGCCCCAGAGCCTGGGGGAGCTGGACATCTGCTCTGCTGCCCCACACACATTGCTGGCCCCAGGGCTGTCAGATCCACCTGTGCCCAGGGGAACTGGAAGTCTGCTGCCATCTGCCTGCAGTCACTCATTTGGATGTTGGTGTAATTTTCGGGATGTCTGAAAAGCAACAGATGAAAAAAACCACATGATCAGTTGCTCTGCTCTTTTGCGCAAGGCAGCTAATCTGCACCTCAGGTTTGAAAAGAGGAGGCTGGATGATCAGCACTCAGCAGGCACAGTTCCCTAATGTCTCTGTTAACATTTCAGAGAAAAAGAGGAGCACAACAACTGCTATTCCCTGGCACATGTACTTAAAACCACGTTGGTTTCTGAAAGAGCTTCCCTAAATCTGACTTGGGCTATCTTAAATTATTAAAAAAAAAAATTAAAAAAAAAATATATACACTGGGTTTTCTATTCTCCAGATGTATTCTAAGAACCTTCCTCATTTCTAACTCTTGCACATCAGCCCTTTATCCAGTGCTAAAAAAAACCCAGCAAAAATTAATAACAACAAATCACTTGGGCTGGTTAAATAACCTATCCACCATAACATTTATTTCAGACAGACGTATAGCCTGAGTGTTCAGCTGCTGTTTGCCTCCTGACCACATTGGGGAACACCAAGTTAGTATTTAATGTGGTGTCATGTTGTAACACGGAAGGTGTTTCCCACCAAAGTAATCCTAAGGTGTCTGGCATTTCCATCCTGCTCCAAGGATGAGCTCTTCCCTGTGGCCACAGCATCATCTGTTGTGTGCCACATGCCTTCAGCTTTCTGCTCTCCCACCACAGCATGTGTCAGTACCACTGATGGCCCTTACGCTGCACCTGCTGCCATTCCCAGCATCATCCAGGATTTACTGGTGTTATCTCAGCCTCCTGCAGTCTGCTCTGACAGGAACAGAGGCTTTGTGAAAAGGAAGGGACTTCAGGGATGAGGAGCAGCATGTTGAACAGTCTGAAGGCAGTGTAGGTGTTTAGCTGAGTAAAGGAGCAGGTCTCTGTGCAGCAGTTACAGAGAGGAGGCCCTGGGGAAGGAGAGGGTGGGGGATACACAGCAGATACAACGATGGTTTCTCACCTTTTGATGAAATAAAAAGCCAGGCCCACAAAAAATAACAGGAGCAGAAGAGATCCCATAACAAACAGGGAAATTTCCCAGCCCTGGAAGGAAGCTGAGGGAACAAAGCAGAGAACAGGCATTACAGCCTTGACCTTTCCCAGCATGGGGGAGCCCCAGGAGGTCACGCAATCAGAGTCAGAAAATGTGTTGGATTGGGCCAGGTTGGGTTGGGTTGAAAGGAACCTTTAAAGGCTACCTAGTCCAATCCCCTGCCATGGACAGCAACATCTTCCACTATCCTAGGTTGCTCCAAGCCCTACCCAACCTGGTCTGGAACACTTCAGCGATGAGGCACCTACAGTTTCTCTGGGCAACAATAGGTTGGGCTGTCTCAGCTTCCCACTCTTTTTTCCCTGCTACAGCCCTTGTGAAATCCCACCTCTGGACAGTTCCAGCCAGTAGCTGCTCCCAGCAACTGAGCCTCTGTGTGAGCAACAGGTCCAAAAGCAGGGGCCTCCCCAGTGAAGCCCAGTGGCTTGCCCACATGTGCCCTCTCCTGTATAGATGTCACCTGACCCTGGTCCCGGCCCTGCTCACTGTGCTGGAAGCAGAGCCCCTGCTACCTACCATCACTGTGTGACAGGAATGGCATATTTTTGGGGGTGACACACTCAGGACTGGTTTTCAGAACTCTCCCATCCATGGAGAAGGGATGGGGGCTGGCAGGAATCCCCAGAGACAGGTTTTGGTGGATTGCTCCTGCTCTGGCTGCTGACCCCACACCTGGCCCCAGACCTTCACCAGTGAACCCACATATTTTATGTTAAACTCTGCCAAGAAACCACAGTACATTTTGGGTGGTCAGAAGCCCTCTGGTGTCAGGATCACACTGCTCCCATGACTTTGTGCCCTCCTGCTCCCATGCTCTTCACCTTTCTCCCCCCCACTGCTCTGAAGTCATGCTGCCATGCTGCATCACGGGTAACTTGAGCACATTCTCAAGCTTTCTTTTGGTGACGAAAAGGATTTGAGATTGTCATCCCACCCAACAGAATACTTTTTACTACACTTTGTATCTCTACCCACTGCTCAGAATTGACTGAAGTTGTTCAACTGGTCAAAAAGGCATTTGGGTTAGGGAGTGTCCTGGTTTGAAAAGGAAGTGAGTTTTTGGGATGCTGTGGTCAAAGCAATAGGTGCTCAGATTTGAATATTGGCACCTGGTGTGGCCACTGAGGACATGGATACGCCTCTGAGAGCACAGGGAGTTAAAGCAGAGAACGCCCAGGAGAAGCTCTCTTGGTTCAGGTGGTGAAAGGTTCAGAGCTGCCCTGCCCGGCTGCGGGCTGGGTGGGGCAGGGGAAGCCATGCGGCCGGGTGAGGGGAGCCGGGCCTTGGACAGAGAGGGGAGGTGAAGGGATGGAAGGGTGGAGGAGCACTGAGAGGCATTGGGCAGCCCCCCCAGAGAGAGAGAGAGAGCCTGTGCCTGTGCTTGTGCCACCTTAAAATTTGATATCTTGTGCAGGCAGCAGGGCTGAGAAGGAGAAGAGGGTGCAGCGAAGAGGTGCCCGGCAGCCTTAAGAGAGTTCTGAGCAGGCAGAGCCTGAGATTTTAACCCTTTTCTTAGATGATAGAAACCTTACAAATGCTGATCCCCCTAGAGCTGAATGAGAAGAGAGATAGAGATGAAATATGAAGAAATGAGCCAGTGTGATGAAAGTTTGTGCAAGTGAAAGATGCCCGAAGAAGTTAGGAAAAATCCGAAGTAAGAAGAGATGATAGAGGAGCCTTTAGCTGGACTTTTCTTGTATAGCCATGGACAGAACAATTTTTCAGTGATGTTATTCACATAACATCACTGCACTCTCTTGGCTCTAAGCCATTGCCTCAATTTAAAGGGAGGGAATGGCTTGGAGCCAAGAGAGTGCAGTGATGTGATGTGAAGGAGTGCGTGAACAGAGATGACGGGTGAGGAGGGTGGTGGTTCTCTCGATCTTCAGGGAAGAAGAAAATCTCTGTTCTTGAGACCCCTCGGCCCCAAGAGATGAATTTGAAGAACAGAAATGTCCTGAAAGTGAGAGATTGCTTTTTTTTAGAAATGGGCAAAGCATCCTTTAAAGAAAAACCCTAAAAGCAGCTCTGGTCCATGTGCAGTGGTGAGAGCACAGGGCATGTGTTGTGGTTTCACTGGCAGGAAGTAGGTTATTTTTTGGGATATGCTGTTGTTACCAGTATGTGCTCAGATTTTAATATTGGCACCTGATGTAGCCACTGAAGTTTGGACACGCCTCTGAGAACACACAGGGGTTAAAAGCAAAGCTGCTCCCCAGGGAAGCTCTCTTGGGACTTCGAAGGCGAAGAGATCGGATCTCCCTTCCCCGTTCAGCTGCTGCTGCTGGGCGGGGAAGGGGCAGCCCTGCGGTAGGCCTGGGCCTGGACAGAGACGGGGGGTGAGGAGGCCCTTGAGGATGGAAGGGTGGAGGAGCCCCAAGAGACATCGGGCAGCCACCCCCTGCCCCCAGAGGAGAGAGAGAGAGAGAGAGAGAGAGCTGGTGTCTGAATTTGATAGTGGCCGGCCCAGGAGGAGAAGGGGGGAGTGCGGCGAGAAGGTGCCCGGCAGGGCAGCGTGGGAGTCCCGGAGCTCTGGGACAGGCAGAGACT